TTCTGTTGCAGCCCTAGTTCATCACACACAGCCAGACACTGAATCTGTTTTGGCCCAGCCGAGACGGGCAGGTGCACACGCCTGCACCAGTCCAAGGGTAGAGCTGGGGCTGGAATCGGCCCTCTGTTGTTCCAAAGTGTTCTCTTTCTATTAAGCCAGGCACCTAATGAGCCCATGCTGCTCACATGTTCACAGGCTGGAGCCATTCTGCTGAGCAGCATTCCCTTTTATTCCAGCTCAGAACGAGTTTGCATTTCTTTGTCCAGCATGAAGCTTTCAAATGAATGATGACCGTAGAAAAATCTCAGGAGAATTTGCAAGAATTGCTAATAAGCATATCTGTCTAGCGCTTAGGATGAAACTGTTTTCTTCTTTAGAATTCTGTACATTCAGAATCTCTCCATGACAGCACCTTGCATTCTGAGTGTCTTTGGGAAACAGTTTATAAAATAAAATTTTAAAAAAAGAGTAAATGGATTGAGATTTTGTTCCTAGCAACGTTTTGCTATGAAGAGGAAGTGCGTGGGGACAGGATGGAGAGATCGCTAAGGCCTAAGGTTCGAGTTCGTGGGGAGTGAGCCAAAAAGAAGTCTTGCTCTGCCCTGCCGGCCCTAGAGGGGAAAGAATGACAGAGCCGGGATTTATGACTTGGGCCCTGACTGGGTCTTCTTCTGTCTTGGGTCCACTGAAACGGCCACTGTGGCAGGGCCCTAACCTCAGAGTGGTACCTGTCCTTAAAGTTCTGTGCATGTCGGTCCTGTTTTGGTTATAGTCAGGCAGAAAGGATGAGTCTTCGTCAAGGCAGATACTTATTTCACTTCCTCACTGATGAGGGATTGAGGACACCCCAGCTTAGGCCAGGAGGACCAGAGTATCTTTCTTACTTTTCTTAATTTTTTTTTTATGATTATTTATGCCTATAGCACCTGGTCTTCCTAGGTGGTCTCCCATCCAAGTACTAACCCTGCTTAGCTTCCGAGATCAGACACCGGGCTTGTTCAGGGTGGCACGGCCGTAGACCATGGACTGTGGCTCCACTGGGGCACGAACCCAGGACCTTCTGCATGTAAAGCAGACATGCTAACCGCTACACTATGGAACCACGTCCAACACCGGAGTGTTTCTTATCACCTCTGTACCCTCAGTGTTGGGCTATTGATTTCTGTCCCAGGGGCGGTGAAGTTGATGTTATGGATTAGATGTTTCATGTGGGGCTGGGACACAGATTGAGCCCTAGAAGTGGACACTTGGGCTCTCAGTGGTGGGGAGACCAAGGAGTGTGGTTGCATCAGAGCAAATGCAGCCCCTGGTGGACCAACAACTGGCAGCACACACTCTGAGCCCTGTGCGAAGTCACATTGGCACACGCTGGGCATTTTAAAAGGGAATCGTGCGTATGTCTGGCCCTTAATCAGACTGGTTGTTTCATTTGTATTTGTTTGATCACTCGAAGGTTGAATTTGTTTACTACATGGGTTCACAGCCAAGTTCATTGCATTGTCTGTGCAGCCCATGGCCACGAACATCTTTGAAGCCAACCTTCCTGTTTTGCAATAGCCCCTATTCTGTCAGCTGATTATCTCCACACTTTCACCTCTCCCTTATTAGATACCATGAAACTGTCACATTTGATCCTTCTTATAATTAATATCTGGAATAATGTCAGTTACCGTAATAGAGAGCTCTCGCTTGCTCTCGAATAGTGCTTGTTTGGACCGTTCAGCTCGTGTCTCCAGGGCTGTGAGCAATAAAGCAGAAAAGATCCTCAGGTTTCTCCCCCACACAGGACTCCCTGCCAGCACCCCTGAATCTCCATCAGCTTTTCATCTGAACAAAACCCTGTCCAGTGCCGCACAGGGCTTTATTTAACATAACTGTAGACGGTGGTGCTTTCTACTTTTAAATCTGCACTGGGCAGAGAACAGGACGTTTACATAACAAGTCAGCATTAGCCCTGTAACAAATCTAATCTCTGTTACTGGGCCAGTGAGTCATCTAAGAAACAGGGAGGTTAGGTGCCCCGCTCCTGTCTGGCAGCCAACTAAACCCAGCTTCCATCTTCACTTCCAGTGAGTGCACTGTCCACCCTCCTCCCGCATCCCAGTGAACAGTCCAGTCCTGTGTAACAGACGAGGAACACGTGATTCCCTGCACAGGCTTGTAGATTCCAGGTTGTGTTTACCAGTAGAGAGCAAAATGGGAACTCCCGCCGAACAGAGAGATCCTGTCCAGTTTTCATGGGATTATTCTTCAGTCGCTTCCCCCATCCGGAGGCTAGCTCCCTTCTGAAGTGATCGAGGCCCTGAACCAGACCACAGACCAGCTGCGCCCGACGCCTCACTCTCACACAATGGCAAATGCCAATGGCTTCGGGGCCAGGAAAGCATGTCACCGTGTCAGGTGGCTGGGGTAGGGCTAAAGGCATGCCATGAGGGCAGGGACTGTATCCATTGTCCACTGCTTCTCCCAGCACCTGGAGCAGAGCATGCACACTATGGACCCCCAATCAAAGATGTGGAATGAATGGTGGACACTGGACAGCTGGGCCGTGCATGTCTCACAGATGGCGTTCTTATGAGAAAAGCATGCCTCTGGGCAATATTTGGCTTCTAGCTTGCAACCCCTATGATTAAATAAACAAGGCTACTTATGGACTGAATGAAACAATGAGTGCCAGGCAACATCGGTGTCCAACTTATTGTTTTGATATTATATATTCAGCTAGACTCAGGATACGGATAACTCTTTCTGTTTAAGCACCTCTTGAGTCCTTTCTATAATAACCTTGGCCTGTTAATGACCCTGGGCTAATTGGAGACTGGTGTCAATGTTCACACTTTCCATTCCATCATGCCGTGGTGTCACTTTTTTTTCTAAATCTCTTAGTCATATGTCTTCCTTTTCAAAAAATGTACAAAGACACCTTTTCTACCAAATAAGGGGCAAACTTTCTAAATACATGCTGTATTTACTAAGAAGAGGGTAACAAATCTGCTTTCCTATATAAAATGCTGCCTTTTCTAAAAAGAACAAACAATGGTAATTGTTTCATGCCAAAATCATTTCAAGCCCAGTTCATCTTCAAAATCTGCCACATCGAGTTACAGGGTCCTGGATAGTGTGGGACAGCCTCTGAAAGTTTTTCCTAGAGGGAAGAGTTGGTCCTGGCTGCTTCCTTGGACACTGCCCTTATTCTGGTGGGTCTGTGTCACCTTCTCTTCATCTCCTGCTCCTGATGTCCCAGACCCAATGTCTTTTGGTTTGTAGCAAAAATCCCTTGAATCAAAAGGAATATAACTGTTGGGTCAGTCAAGCAGCTGTTGTGACATAGACAGACTGAAGAGGAGCCCACTGAGCATGTCCCCTAACCCTAGGATGCATTGACAGGTATGAGACCATCTGCCTCAGCATAGAAGCCCACAGCCAGCTTCTAGACTGTGGATGCAGCCACTAACATGTCACTTAGACACTTTGATTGCCTAGCGAAGTGGGAGGGCTATCAAACACATCCTCTAGTGAGACAAAACCTACAATAGGATCTCCTTGGAGGAAAAAACCTTGCAAAATCAAACCATAGCTGTCATTAATATTTTGGTCAGGACCTATGAGTCAGTTGGATATGAGTCAGAAGGTACTAAAGGCATTAAAATTCCAGCTTTTCCTGAAACATTTCACTGGTCAAAAACTAACACAACAAAACATGCCTGTGGGTGACATTTGACTTCTAATTTATAAACCCTGTGATGAAATAAACAAAACTGATTATAGATGGAAATCATTACTGCTGAGCAACATTGATATCTAGCTTATCAATTAATGCTATATATTCATATGCACTCAAAGATGCAAATAATTCTTCATGATTGAAGAACTTCTACTCCATTAATGACCTTGGCCTAGACCTAAACCAATTGTAATTTTGCGCCATGAATGGATGTAGAAGCTAGAAGCAACTTGTGTCAGTTAGGAACATGTTCAACCCCAAAGAACAGAAAATTTGGCCTACAGTGGCTTCAACAGTTAGGGAATTATTTTTCTCATGTAACAGGATACTCAGAGGCAGATAGTGACTCACCATGGTTCGGTTCATCGAGTGCTGTCTAGGCACAGTCTCCTTTAGTCTTTCTGGTCCACCTTGCTCTGCGTTTTGGTATTCATCCTTGCCTTTCTCATAACTGCACATCTATGCTCAAAGCAGAAGGAAGTAGGGAAGGGGAGCATCGGCTGCACCTACTCACCTGTTAAGAAAACAAAAGCTTTTCTAGAAACCCCCCAGTAGGCTTTCCCTTCAGACTCACTGGCCAGAACTATGTCACATGACTGCCCCTAGCTGCAAGGGAGGCTGGGAAATGAGTTTTTTTCTATTCAGCTTCTACGATGTAAGAGAGCAGAGGAGAACAGGCCTGAGAAGAGGTGTGTGTGAGCTAACGTACAGTGGCTACCAGGACACTGCCCAGAAACTCTTTTCCAACATTCTCACTGTACAGATGACCAAACTGAGTTCTGGAAATGGGAAGTAGCTTTGCCAAGGTCCCGTAACTGCATGAAGTGATAGCCAGATCTAGAGTCCTGGTCTCCCAGCTCCCAGTCCAGAAAGCTGACCACTGGACCACCCAAGGAATAGAGTTTGACATAGTCTGTGACTGAAGCTCCGTTGAAGTAGTAGAATATCATCCAGAAAATGAGGTGATGGATCTAAAACTCTCGGCAGCGGGCAGAGGACATAGCAGCTTCCATTTGAGCTCTCCTTCCTCCCTCCCTAAGAATCTGAGATAATTCGGTGGGAGCCACAGAAGCTGGGCCAAGTCAAAGCAGGCTCCTTCTGAGCTCCCTGCCTATTGTGTAGGTTGTTCACCCCCTCGTCCCTTTGGCACGTTGATGTTTGCGTGTGTGATAGCAGAGGCAATCTCATGATGAGCACCATGGTATCGTAGAATTTCCCTGTCATTGTTAATGTGCTGTTCTTGTCTTCTGTCCCCTCCTGTTATCGGACCAAACAGAAGTATTCTGCTGTTTCTCTCTGCAACATCTCCACAGAAGTCCTGAAGGTCATCAACGCCACGGAGGAGTTGATAGCAGAGTCCGCGGGCTCCTGGGAATTCCCACCCGGCTTTCCAGACAGAGAGAAGGGGACATTTCCTCTGGGGACAGACCAAGTGAGACTGGATGAGCAGCTGACTTCCCTGGAAGAAAACGTAAGACAGTGTGGCTGCGCCTTATGTGGGGCAAACTTGTGCAGAGGGGCAGCCGAGGAAGCTGTAGCTCATCACAAAGAGTGCGAAGACACAGACACACCCCCGCCACCGCCACCACCATAGCAAAATCGTTCTCAGGAAGAGTCTTAGGCTGGGTTCCACAGAGGCATATCTTGGGATGAGGGTTTGCATACAAGTGATTTATTAGGGAGGTCCTCCCAGGGGAGGCTGGAAAGAGAGTGGAGGGGAGAGGGAAGAAGCGGAGCCACGCGGTGCTCTTAGACAAGGGCACCTCAGTCTCTGTCCGCAAGCAAAGTGTCCATAGCAGCCCAAAGGCAGTCTTCTGTATAGATTAGAGCTGTTGGGAACAAAAGCACATTGAAGTTTCAGGGGCAGGGAGGGGAGGATGCGAAAGCTATAAAAGAGATCTGTGGGGACCCAGGTAGAGCATCGCTGGTGCCTCTGTAGGGAACGAGTATGGTTGCCCACAGAGATGAGGTCCCTACAACTGTCTGCCCTGCTGCACAGATATGTCTGTTGGTCATGGATTTTTTTATCCTTCTGACTTGTGAGGAAAGAAAGAACGTAATAGATTCTTACATATAAATATCCACGATTGTTGCTAAGTATAAAGGTCCGAGGAGAATTCTCCAACAATGCAGACCAGGGGTGACACAGAGAGATCTCAACGTTAGCCACACAGGCCATGGTCACCATTTCCAGTTGGCATGGTCCTGCCCATAAAGCTGGCATCAAATCGGGTCAGATGATTCCATCTTTCCAAACCCAGAAGAGTCAACCCTGACTAATGAATGCTGTTCTCAGAAATCAAGAACTGTTATTAGAGGAAATTTTTGCTAAAAGTAGAAACAACAAATCAAAATGACTTAAAGTTAAAAAAAAAAAAAAAGCCAATATTTGTTTCACTTTAAAGTTAAAGACTCTCTCCCTTTGGATTCCCCCATAAAACCTAAGCGTACGTCTCTCTGACCACTTACCTCACTTTACTGTCCTTTCTGTTCACCTGTCTGTCTCCCCTTACATCGGCACCATTGGCATTTGGGATTAGATAATTCTTTGTTCTGAGGGGCTGTCCTGTGCGTGGTAAGATATTTAGCAGTATCGCTGGTCCCTCCCCACTATAAGCCAGGGGGAGCCTCCTCCTAGTTGTGACGATCAAAAATGTCTCCAGACATAGGCAAACGTTGGAGGGCGGTGACGTAGAGAGGCGGGGGGCACAATCTCCCCAAGGCTGGGGACCAGGTACGTAAATTCCTGCAGCACAGGACCTGCTGGCTTTTAATCTGTAGCCCTAGCCCTTGGCCAGAGCCTGACACAGAGGAGGTGCTGGAAGAATGCTTATCTGACGTATGATTACATCAGATGGACGAAGTGCTTTTTTTTCAGGAAGAAACGTTTTATTTCTAATGTGCAGGGTCTCTGTGCCTTAAATATGTCTAATACAGTTCTTTGAGCACTGATAGCTCTCATCTAGGACACCCAGAATTGAAAAGGTTAAAATAAAGATAAGGTTCACCAGGAAAGGGATGCATTTTTTTTTTTTTAACAAAGTACGGTATCAAAAAAACTTACAACGCATGAGATAATCCGGATTTAAATGACGGCGGTTGGTTCGCATGGCATACCTAAAGCAAAGACGGCATGCCTTTCTGCTCCCCAAGGAGCATGTTGAAAAACAGCCTTGCCAGAGTTTTTGTTTTGAAAGAGTCTTTTATTGTACGTTATGTTTCTCTTCTTGGGTTTGTTAACGCTTTCAGTTGGAAACACATCCACTTACCCACTGATTCAAGATGTCACCTACCCCAGCAGGAACATGGGCTGAAAAGGTCTGGGTTTATAATTCACTGCTCCCTGTCCAGCATCTTAAGATGCCTCGCCTGTCCCCAGAGTTAACTGCCTCTTCCTTCCTCCTTCTTCCCTTCCCCGGCTCCAGCTTTTCAAATTTCACCGCAGAAGAAACTCCAGCCATGTTCCTTTGAATTCTGTGGGGTTTTGAGGCAGAGAAGGGATGACTCTTCTCTTTATCTCTTTAGTTCACCAGATCACAGAGCCCGGGCAGGTGGCTCCGCTCTGTGGTTTCCAGGATGGAATTCATTTGAGCAGCAGAAGGTCAAGGCCGATTGTAAAACGGGCCTCTGGGTGCAGCTGATTTAATGAAACCGAGCCTTTGGTCGGCCTGTGTTCTAAAGAGCGTGCCTTCCTTCCTCCGCTGCCTTTCTCCTTTGTGCTGAGGGACCCGGGGACCGGCAGAAATAGAAACAGCAACACTTATTCTCGCCTTCTGAACATTGGCTACTGCAGACCAGGACTCTGCGATGAAAGAGAACATTTGCTTGAGAAGGTTTCGCCTTTAAAAAGACTTCTGAAGCCTTCAGAGCTACATAAGATAAAAATGTCACATTCACAGGTCGAATCTCCTGTTTTCATAAACTGCCTTGTTAATAATCCACTTAATTAGAGGAAGGCATGGGGATTTCAGAATTCCCTTAGTCTGCCGGCTTTGACGCTTCTCACCTGCTGCTGCAGCTAACACTGTGAGATCAGCTCTGGTCTCCCCCAAAAGGCTCGGGCCAGTCCCAGCCTTGCCTGCACATACAACAGGGGCTCAGTTCCTGGGACTGAATGCCTGGGTCTCTCAGTATTTGATGCTCTTGCTGACAGCTGTAAAGCGTAGGATTCTACTCTACCTGTTGGGGTCTGTCTGACTGGGAGAGGAGAGTTTCAGGAAAGGATCATTGCCTGAGGTGTGGGCAAGATTAAGGGATGCTGGAGCATCCAGAGAGTCACAGGAGGAGGAAGCAGTCACCCACTCAGGCAGTGTAGCCCAGGGAGAACTGGTGTCTGGAGGGGCACCCCCTCATGGCAGCTGTCACCATGGCTCCCACACAGCTCCGGGAGAGAGCAGGGGAACAGAGCCTCAACTTCCTTCTGCCTTTGATGTCCTGCTGGTGTCTCCCGCTGGCCAAAGCCATCCCAGCCAGCAGGGGAGCCTTGGAGATGAAGTTCATACAGGTCAGCCCCACAGAGAACGGAGCAGGGCAGAGAAAGACGGAAAATGGAGCTAGGGGTCAACGGAGGACCACTAGCATGACCATTCTCAGACCCGTGGTGGGAAGAGCAGGGACCCACAAGGGCCACCTTGTGGATTTACACAGGGTCGTGAGTGGGAGGACTGAGTCGGCTCCCACCCCCATCTGAGGACCTCCTCATTCTCATCTTTGCTAAATGACAGACAGCCTGGGGTAGCCTGTAATTCCCAGCCAGAGAGGCAGTGGAGAGACCGTCCCAACTTCCCTGTTAGCTCTTCCCTGTAACTCTTGGCAGCACCGCATATGTTGGCCATTATACAGCCAGTGGCAGCAGACACAGTGGAACTCCACCACGAGGAGCCCAGCTCTGTCACAGAACCAGGACCAGGCAGAGGATGTTGGTCCTCCTTATATGATGCCCTTGGCACAGAAGGGGAGTGAACTAGAACCTGTGGAGGTGGTCATGGCTTCTCGGGAGGTTTTCCACCCTCAGAGAGTAAGAAAAGAAATACTAACAGTTACTGTCTAATCTTAGTCCCCTAAAGTGTATCTCATGGAGGCCAAGTCCAGTAAGATGCTCTAAGATCAAATATGCTTGAGAAATCTGTGTACTCTTCCTAGGAAAACTGAGATACACATTAGCCCATTAAAGGCTCTGAGAAGTCCTGCAGTAATCTGCTTAATTCTCTTTATCCCAGGGGCTTTGACCACAAAGTCCTCCCTTAATTTCATCCCTTCAACCATTTCGCGAAAGGCTGGTTGAACCAGAGCCACTCAGTGGGGTCGTGATGACTAGAGTCACAGGACATAGATTATTCAGACATGGTAATTGTAGTTTTCACCAAAAGTGGACGTTTATTAAGCAAGCAATTCCAGGTTAATGTTTTTCGATGGGTTATTTTTTAATACTAGAATAACGTTTTCAATGTCACATTGACTTATAACCATGACACATTGTCACATTGACCTATAACCATGACGACTCTAGCGCCCTTATGAAATGTAAAACATCATGACAGTCCACCTGAGATTAGGTACCACAGCATTGCAGGGTAGGGTGGATAAAGGCATGAGACCTAGCAGCCCTCCGAGCTCAGATCCAGGCCCCACCACTTCCCAGCTGTGAGGCCTGGAGAAGTCACCGAGCCGCTAGGACACAACGTCCTCATCTTTATTATAGTGATTATAATAGCATCTCCCTCGAGGGTTGCCGTGAGCATTAAATAAGTCCCATGAAGCCCTTGGCTCAACACTTGGCTCAATAAATACGTGTCATCATCACCGTCACCATCCTTGCTGTCATTGTCATCCTGCAGTCCTTTAGGCACTGTCACCTTGGCTGTAAGTTCCTGTTCAGCTGGGGTCAGTGCCAAACCACTGAACGTCCCCTGGTGCCAGGAAAGCAGGCTTTTAGGGAACACGAAGTAAAAGATGAACATTCTGGCCTGGCTGAGGGCTTCGAGCCATCTCATATTGCTTTGTCTTGACAAAGAAAACAAAGAACCTTAGCGGATGACCATGCCAAAGACAAAACAACAAGGTGCTTTTAAGTCATCACAGCCACAGGGTGTGATGCTGCTGAGTTGCGCATATTTCTGGAAAAATCGAAGTTTCAAGATTTCGAGACCAAAATTATATCAAGTAATATTTAACGATTGCCACACTCAGATTATTCATTTCACTTAAACTACAATTCCGAATTTCATTTCATTGTGCAAAACTATAAGTTTATATTTAAAAGTATCTTATCAAAATAAATTTACCTTTTTTGGTGTACGTGGAAAAAGTGCACGATCCAAACTCACAACTGCCCTGACAATCATTCTTCTCTCTTTCCTCTCTTCCCTCTCTCTCTCTAATTTTTCTTCTCTTGTGAAAAAAAGAAAAAAAAATGCTCTTCAACTTTGAAACTTTTAACAGACCTATTTTTAATTTCTCCACTCAGCTCTGAAATGTTCATCATTTCTTTCATACGACAGACAATAAAGACGTGTTTCTTGTTTCAAAGACAAAGGATAAACTGTGGGGATCTTTTAGAAACAAATTCTCTAATGCTCGCTTAGGATAAAGAAATCTAAAGCTAAGGGCAACCTGGAATATGGCACTTTTCAGCAGGCATTCGATTCGTGGCCCCCGATGCGGCTGACAGATCCCTTAACGTGACAGCCACTTTGTCGGCCGCTGTTCCCACAGCCCAGCTAACTGTGCTTGGAGATGCACAGGGAGGTTTGCTTTCACCCGACCGCTCCCCGCCTTCGCTCCACTTTGAAAGGCCTTTTAACACGGATGCACGAAACATGCCAAGGAGCATCTCCGGGTTCTTTTCCCCTCCCCACCAACGCTCAGCCTCGGTTAGCGCGGAAGACGTGCATGACTTGTGTGCAGAAGCCCCGGGCTTGCCTAACTAGGTTATGTTTTCAGCTCCAGTTAAAGGAACTGTCAAAGGATTGACTGCTTCCCAGTCAAATCAACTCTAAGTAGCTGTGATGACATGACTAGAGCTTTATAGATGTTATTAAACCTCATGAACCTCTAAGTAATTACCCTCTTTGGATACGTCTGGTCCCTTGTGTTGTCGGTGGCTTCACACCATCACTAATTAGGCTGAAGAAGCATATTTCATTCACCCTAGCTGGCATCCCTCAGTCTGAATTATCCCAATGATTTTACTTTGTTTGCCCACCTTTGTGGAATCACCTTATAAACTCATGAAATATTCAAAATATTTTTCCCTTTAATTTTTACTCAGATTGCTCCCTTGATCTGATTTTCTCTTTAATTTTTGGTAGCACACAAAAAAAAAACTGTCTTAATTGACAGATACATAGATTGGACATGCTTCTCTTAACAGCACACTATTTTCCAAGAAATAAAGTATTTTCTTACTACAAATTTCAGGTTCATTTTAATTCCCTTAGCCTGTTGCAAACAAGCCGAAGGTAATCAATCAAAGATAAGTTACTCAAACTTTGTAATTGCTTTGAATTAATTTCACCTCCATCATGTTTTTTAAATGTTTCTCAATTACAAAAATGCCAACCAAAATTTTTATTTGGAAAACTGCATCCTGAGTTTTTTCCTTCGTTTCTTGTGTCTTGATAGTATGATTGTTATAGTCACTGGACAAATTTCATAATGTATGTAGCTGATGTCATGCATTTTGTGCTATTTTATCATATTTCCAAAATTGACAAGTTGCTTTTTCTGGCAGGAAAGTAGGAAGGGGGCAGAAACGACAGTGAAGGAGTAGAAAGACCTCATGCCCCCATTTAAGTGCAAAGAATATGTAGACGTGGGGGCATTCCCTGTCCTTATCCCCCACCATTGAGACTAGTCCTCTCTCACTCTCTGGGGCCCCCTGAGAAGGCCCCACAGTCCTGAATCTGCGGACCTGAGCTCAAGGCTGTGCCTCCTCTGCAGGTGTACCTGGCGGCAGGCACAGTGTATGGACTCGAAGGCCAGCTGAATGAGCTGGAAGATGCTGCCCGCTGCATCCACAGTGGCACTGGTGAGACCGAACTTGCCGATCTGGAGGACCAGGTGGCCACGGCTGCAGCCCAGGTCCACCATGCTGAGCTCCAGGTAAGAACTCTCCTCTCGGCCCAGATAGGGGACCACCTGGAAAAAGGAGAAGACACCCCATCTTCCACAAGAATCATTTCAAAGCCTTTGTACTTATCAGTTCCTACCATTTTCAGCACACTTGAATGGACGTGGCCCTTCAGGGTAGAGCCCACCAAATCCTCCTTTTTTAAAGTTCAGCCTTGCTTTCCACAAATTATAACCTTGATAATAGATCAGACTTTTCTTTAAAACCTATGCCACTTTCCTCTTTGAAAAATCTCTGACCCATAAGCAAGTCTCCTTGCTATGTAGGTTTCCATTCCACCCCAAGACCACCCTTCCAATGTTTATCACACTGTTAATTATTTAGTTAATGCCCGTTTTCCCCACGATGTACTAAAGGTTCTATGAGGACGGGACTATAGCTGTCTGGCTTAACACAGTAACCCCAGTGCCTAAGCACAGTACCCAACACAGGTTTGGCACTCAGTAAAAATGGAAAATAAAATAAAATAAAAATGAGATGAGTAAGTAAATATGGGAAGTGTAGATTTCTCAGACCAGTATTGTACATGGTTTAGATACTGCTACTTCAGAACTGATCACTGTATTAACTATAATTTCGTGAAGATGCCTGTGTGCAGTTTTCATGGATAGTCCTTGGCCTCTGACTCAGAATCAGAATTGATTCTCAGACTGATCATCAAACTGGAGTCCCTGGAGATACACTCAGGGACCCATGAGAAATGCTGGTCTCTGCAGCATAAGCTCGGTGTAGACCACTGGTTCACTGATATTTCTATAACCCTGCAGCTTAAAACTGCAGAATTGGGGGTCAATAGAAACACTTCTGGATAGAGCTGAAAATCTTCACCGATAATTATTTTTTAAATAACTATTTTTATTTTCAAGGAAAGCAGGCTTTTAGAGTCGAAAATCACAACCACCACTGACATCATTAAACACTCTTGAGAATGCAAGGGCTCCGATTCTCCGCTCTGTGGCTAGGAACGGCCTCATCACAGAAGGCCCCGTTGACTATTATCAGCAGGAGGGGCTGAAGAGCAAATCTCTTGAAATAAAAATCATTTTCCATAAATGGCACCCAACATTCAATCGATTTTTAGTCAAAGTTACGTAAAGATATAAAGTGGAATCAAATCATTTGTTTTCTGGGGGTGCATTTTGCCGTAAATATTTTTTGAATGGTTTAGCAAGAATAAATTTTATTTGTGGGTGTTTCGGAAGGTTCTGTTGGAATAACTAGTTACTTCTGCTTCCAGATTTTTCTAGGCTTAAAGTATTGGCACCAGATCTTATGACAGAAAATCCTGGAGTCCAAAATGCCTATTTTCCCATACGTTTGGATGTGCCTATTAATTTATTATTTATTTTAAAATATTACAATGATGGCATCAATAATACCTAATGTTCAGTGAGCCTTCCTTTGTGCCAGGACTTATACTGAGGATGCTGTCCACTGCGTCTTGCAGGGTCACCTCTGGGGGTGCTCCTGGGGAAAGCCTCTCTTAACTCTTTGTATCAGGAAAAGCTGTTCTTCTGAGTACTTACTTGGTCTTTATCTCGTGGACATAGAGTCCTACACAGATCTCTTTGCTTCAGCTCTCAGGAAACTCAGAGCTGAATTAGTCTTCTTCTTCTATCAAGTGTAGGAGTCATTGAGCATGCAGTCTTAGAAATAAAGTGGAATATAACTAGATGCTTGGATGGATGGATGGATGGATAATAGATACATAGATACATAGATACTTAGATACATAGATAGACAGACAGATAGACAGACAAAATGTAGGCAAAATCAGCCCTCAGTAGTCTCCTTTCCTCTCTCTTTGTCCTCTGCCTATGGACTAAAACTTGAAAAATTAAACCCATTTCCGCTTATCCAAAGAAATCCCAAACACCAGTTCCTGGTAGTCAGCAAATCCGGAAGTCAGCAGCCTGCTCTGTTCCTCAGTGTTCCTGAGCCAGGCCCTCCAACGAAACTGCTTCTAGGAGCACATGTGGTCATCAAATCCACACCATCTGCATATGACAGATGAAAGTTTAGCCCGCGATCTTTCTCAGAGGCTTTTGCACAGTTTATTGAACTATAAACCAAAGAATGCAGCTCTCAGTGTGAAACCTGAGGAGTCAGAACAGGAAGGCGTCTGGGGGCCGGGAAGGGCAAGGGCCACGTGGTGGCCCCTTCTGGGGGCTGCCTGCTGGGCAGCAGTGCTTGCGTTCTTTCTCCAGCTGCCACAGTCTCGGCCTTCACCTACCTCCTCTTCCTTTTCTGACGAGGACCGCCACTCCTCGCAATAGGGGAAGCGTCTCTCATATCTGCTGACTTGTCGGTCCCCTCTGCACGTCTCACAGCACCTATCTCAGGAGGTTTTGTCTAAATGAGCTGTTGATAAATGAGAGCAGAATTAGAGTTTGTCTTGAGCATCTCCAAATAGTTAAGGGATGGGGGAGGCAACGGAGACCTCGGGGTGACGTGCACGCGTTGGCAGCTGGGCCTGCTTTCAGGCTACTTGTTCCACGGCCCAGCACCGCTCAGCCTGCACCATCTCAGCAGGACGGCTGTGGTCCCTACCTCCTCCCGCGACTCCGCCAGCCTTCTCCTGCCTCTTCCAGTGTCCCCCGTGCCAGCCTTGGCAAGTCCCCTGAGAATATGGCCAGAGCATGAGCCCTGGCATCAGTTCCAAAGTCCGCCCCAGACCAGCTGCGAGATATCGGGTATATTACTTGTCCCTCTGAGTGATATTACTTGTCCCTCTGAGCCACAGTTTCCTCATCTGTAAAACCAGAGGATGGTACCTAACGGGATTACAAAGGAGTTCACGAATGAAGCGGGAATGATGTATGTATGTAAAGCACTTAGCATACTGACAGCCTGTAGTAATGCCCTTGTCTGTGAACAGAGACTGTGTCTTCTTCATGCCTAGGACAGAAATGGACCAGCTCTTTCTGAGCTCCAAGTGGGCTCTTGCTCTCTATAGCTGCCTTAAGACACTGTTGGAAGGAAATCTGAGCTCCTTCCGACCTTTTGATGTTACAGTCAGGGAAACTGATGCCCAGACAGAGGACGGAGTTTCTCAAGGCCACTTGGCCTCTTAATAGAGGAAACGGACTTGAACCAGGGGTTGCTAGGCCTCCCTCCCGAGACCTGATGCTGTGCTTTTGCATTCGTGATGTCATGGAGGAATGAAGCAGGACCTATAAATCATACTTGCTTTTCAAAGCTCACATCAAGTGTTGCCTCCCAAGGAAGCCTTTCCGGACCACTCCACCCCTGTGCTGAGCCAGATGGCCCCGGGCCAGGGTTCCCATTACACCCTGGGCTTCCATTATCCCTAGGCGTACTCTGACATGAGTGGCATGCTCTAGAACTAGCAACTAGAAATTTAAATTTTAAAAAAAGGGCCTGTGTTTAATTTTCTCACTATAGCATTAGATAGAGAAGTGCTTGGTAGAAGTGGAATGAATGCGCACACAGCAAAGCAGATTTATTCTTTATAGATTCGAAACACTTTTTAACAAAGATTTCCCCCTCCTGTGCTTCCTCCCTACCGATCCTGTCTGTTACATTAAGATTACTGATATCGAGAGCCGGATTTCAGCCCTGACCGTTGCAGGATTAAACATAGCTCCGTGTGGGCGCCTCACGAGAAAACGAGATCAGAAGCAAAGAAACCAGGTGCGTTTGTCCCTCACTCCCTCTGTGGGAATTTTGCACGGCCTGGAAATTTTAGAAGACAAAATATGTTTGGCTTCGAGAAGGTGTATTGATTGCTGTGTTCTGTTTGTAGGTCCAGACTATAGACACATCAAGGCAGCAGAGGAGGAAACTGCCTGCTCCGCCGGTGAAAGGTATGCTTGATTACAACCACAGAGCCACCAAAGAATTGAGCCTGGCTCATTCGCTTTGAGTAACGCAGTGATCTGAGGACCAGATCTAATGGCACGTTCTCACCCGAATTTGCTCTCGTGATGAGTCTGTCTTGACTTGGATCCCCTCAAGAAGCAGACCCTGGGACAAGGATGTGAGTGCAAGTAGTTTATTAGGGAGGTGATTCCAAGAAGCACTGGCAGGGGAAGACAGAGATGATCCAGGGAAGAAAATTAAGCCAACACGAGGTGCTATATACGGCTGGGAGCTTCTGGGAGACAGCACTGACTACGCCTCAGAGTTTCCTGCCCAGAGAGTGGGAAGATGAGGTAGTCAACTCTCATCCATCACTGGTTACAGGTTACTCCCGTGGGGACACTGACTCCCTGGTACTTCTGACTTGCCCCATGCATGGGCAACAGAGTGGTGGTGCTCAGAGTGAGCTAGAGTGGTGACTGTTGGGGTGATGTAGGCAGGGTGCCACAAGCATCTAACACAGTGCCCAACCTAGAAGGCCTTCCAGCAATGCCAGTTATGTCAACCTTATTCTGGACGTTTTCAATGAAGTTCCTGGATTCGGGAGCCACATGATGATGCCAAACTAGAAATTCAGTTCTACAAATTAGAAAAGCACAAAGTCAGAAGATATATGTTTGAATCTTGGTTCCACCGTTCATTGTATAACAGACATTTATTGAATGCCAACTTTCTATACCACAAAAACCTAGACAATTGAAATTTATTACAGATCCACGATACCCTACTTGAAACCCTTGGGTCATTATGTGTTCCAGAATTTCTTGGATATTAGAAAGATAATAGGGTGTATATACTGTATATGTCATAACAGCCCCCCTTCATGGTGTCTGGGGCAGTGTCTGATAAACACATCAGTATCCTTGCAGGAAGGCATGAGAATGTTCACACTCTATAGGATGGACAAGGACTTTAAATGGCTGCATGTCAGTTCAAGTCAGGTTTTGCCATCAGAAATTTTGGCTACCAAGTTATAAATATGTGCAGTTTTTAGAGCCTTTTATATTGCAGAGTTGCAAATAAGAATTTATGGATTATATTGGATTATCTCCAAGCTGCCTTTTCCCAGAAAGCCAGTAATAATGCCTTGATTTATTTGGTTCACCATAAAAATAAATAAAAAATAAAGATTCCATAGTCAGACCTTGGGGCCAGAATGAGATTCCAAACCTAGAACAAAAATCTGGGTCATCTGGACACCTGGTCTGTCTTCCTTAATGACTGGTCCAGCTCCTGGGTAACACTTATTCCTGTTCGTTTCCTTTTAGCTGAAAACACTGAGGCATCTTCAGTGACCACTATGAAGACATTCAATCGCAACTTCATTCTCCAAGGCTCCTCGACAAACAAGACGAAAGAAAGTAAAAGCACCACCGAGGATGCGATGGTAAATGTCATCTCTGCCCTGATCCCCGTCACTTCCACTGTAGTTGGTACCTCCATCCTGCAGCTTCCCTATTAGAGCCCCAAGAAGCATCCTTCCTTCATGGCCTGTTGGTGGCGGGTGGTGGGGATCTAAAAGTGACAAACGCCAGGCCTGGTATTGCCCAACTCTTTGATAGGTGGATACATCCCCTCATCTGTATCTCCAGCTCCTTGTCAGAACCAGGTTTGGTATAAGAGAAATAAAAATGCATACACAGGAATGTAAGGTCTGGTGGAGGTATAAGATTTTGTATTCTGCTTTTGAATTATACTTACCCTTCCTTAAATTTCCTGTCAGCCATTAATTACTTGTTGTGTTCCTGGGGAAAAAAAAAAGTCAGCAGCTGCCCCTATGTGAGGCAAAGCAAGGACAGAAGATAATTTCCACGAACTCTAGAGATCATATAGGATCGTTTGCCTAAACACCACCACGTGCTTCGAGATGGTGGCAAATCTTGATGCTGCCTATGTGGGAGATGATGATCCAGCTAAAATGCCTCAGCGGTGCCATTGTGCCAAAGACAGATGATGTCTGGGGCGACAAGACTGAAGCGAGGATAAATGGGTTCTGGTGCTTTTCATGCATCGCCTGTCTCTCCCTTCCCCCTCCTCTTTCTCACTGTTCCTGTCTCCTCAGCAAAAAAGCACCAGGTGATGGCATGATGGGGGGCCTGCCGCTTTGAATTACAAACGACACAGCTATTAGACACCAGGAGACAACCGTGCTGTGTGTTGCCTCTCCTTCACTGGTCAGCCATCACCCCTGACCTTTCAAAGTCCAGTTACCTTGCTCCTGGCCATTACTTCGAAGAGCTAAAAAGATTCATTATTACACTAAAAGGGCAGATCGCTAGGGCCAGAGAGGGAATCTATCGTAAATCAGATAGTTAGAAATAAATTACCTTTCATAGAGCTAGCCCATAGATGGGAGGTTGCCAGGGGCTGTGGGGACGGGGAATAGGAACAAACTGCTCAGCGGGTAAAAGGTCTTACTTTACAGCGATGGGAATGGTTTGAAACTAGACAGGGGTGGTGGTTGCACAACATTGTGGACACACTAAACGTCACCAGCTCGTTCACTCTAAAATGGTTATTTTTATGTTATGCGAATATCGCTTCAATAAGTTATTTTTAAAATTACCTTTAAATAACACAGAGTGGATAAAAATGAAAGAATAGACAATATTTATTTTAAAAATGCAAACAAAAAAAGGACAGAAATATTACTTTCGAACAAAGTAGAATTCCATACGAGAGCATTTAGAGAAAATAAGGGAGGATGTTTTAATTTTGATAAAATAAAATAGTCACTCATGAGCCTTTCTTGATTTGGCAAACAACAGAGCAATACAGTTCATTGTGCCACGGTTGGTGACTTCAAAATTCCCTTAATTAAGAAATTTAACTTTATACTTTACAGAGGATTCTTTTTCTTTCCAACCATCAATGGACCATTTATAAAAACTGATTTTACACCAGCTACAAAGGAAACCTCAATAAATTCCAAAAAATTGAAAGTCTAAAACTACCTTCTGTGACCCCAATGCCAAGAATAATCGAGAATGGCACATCGTTCAGTGGAGCTTTCTGAGATGACGGAAGTGTTCTTTGCCTGCATTACCCGGTGTGGTAGCCTAGGTGGCTACTGCCTTAGAGGAACTGACTTTTGAGTTTTTATTTAATTTTAATTAATCTAACTGTAAACAGCCACATGTAGCTAGTAACGACTGTATTAGAGAGGGTAAATCTAGAAGATTAGAACAAAAGTTAAAGAGAAACCCTACTTGGACTTATAAAGTACGTGCACCCACATACACAACTACACGTAGATACAAACACATACACCTGCATACGCTCGCACACACGTTTCCAAGGAACTATGAATTAAAGAGAAAAGCAAATCCATAGAGCGTTTAGAAAATGAAAACATTACATATATCAAAACATATGGGACACATATAAAACATGTAAAACTACAGAGTCAAATTCATACTATTAAATATTTTCTTTGTTATTAAAGAAAAAAGAAAAACTAATGAACTAAACATTAAATTCCAGACATCAAAGATAAATGCAGAAAACAATTAATTAAAACCAGAAAACTACAGACATGATGATAAATCTAAGAGTTTGTTCTTTGGAAAAATAGAAAATAGAAAAATTTTGTAAGCCAAGTCAAGAAAAAATAAGTAAAATCAAAATAAGAGATTATAATAGAGATACAAATTTTTTAATTTAAATATATAGTGTGAAAAAAGTCTTAAGTCTTAATTCTAATAAAATCAGAATCAAATCAGGATGTTGGTAAAAAAATGTCTTAAGAAATAAAATTCTAAAATTTATTAAACCTTCAAAAAAAGATTCTCGGCCTTTTGAGCTCCGCTTCTCTTGCTCAGGCCTGCTTCCACTTCTGGAAGTATACCTTCCCTTCTAATAAAACTTTTCTACTGTAAAAAAAAAAGATTCCTAGCCAAGTGGATTTGCTGATAAAATTTTTCAGGAACGATTAGTTCCCATGTAATATAAAATATTTCAGAACATTAAAAAAAATAGAAAACTAAAAGATTCCTGTGATGAAGCTACTAAAATGCCAGCTACCAGAGCCTGCCATGGCTGGTAACTGTGCACACGTGCTCCATTCCACTCACACACCCATGCACGTCCAGACACTCACAGACCACACACCAATTGTGCTGCTTCAGAGGAATAAATAAAATAAAATATTAGCAAATTAAACACAGCAGTACATTAAATAATAAATGACCGGGTATATTTTATAAGAATGCAAGAATACCTTTAATATCGAGATACTGATTAATAAATATCAGTAGTTCAATACAGAAAGCCATTTCTCAAATTAATTTATAGTTTAATCCAATTCTCATAAAAACCTCAGTGGGATTTTTTTTCAAGTTCACATAAGAATAAATCAGAAAGAAGAGACAAAAGCATTTTGCAAAGTTTAACTGACTTTCCTGCCAGATTTTCAAACAAATTAAAAGCTGTAAAGAAATTGATGATTAATGGAATAGAATAGAAAGCTCAGATACAGATACAGGTCCATATGAAATTGTGTTACATGACTTTAAAGCATTAGGAATTTGAGAAACAGTATAAATTATTTTAAAAAATAAAAACAAAACTGTGCTTGGCAAACCAGCGGGGTGGGGGGTGGGGAGTTGGTATTGGAAGGGCATCAATTTGCCTTATTCTATGTACCAAAATAAATTTCAGATGGATTAAGATGCCCATGTAAAAAATGCATCACTTTTTAAACATTGTGAAATATTTAGTCAATGAGCATGAATACCCTTTATGATATATAAAAGAAAGTGGTGGACGTTTTTAATTGCCTCTCCTCGCTTTTGCCGAGTGGCTGATGACTGTGTGCTCATTGTCTCACCCAGGAGCCCACCCTGGAGTCTGCTGTGATGTATTAGCACCATGGAACTCCACTGCCAGTGACCCACTGCCTCCGCCCCACACGACAGTGCCTTGACCCAACAGCCATTGAATACTGTACGGATTTCCACGTGAGGAGAGGGTCTGGGGAGGCCACCGTGCGCAGGGCTGTCCTGATGCCTCACCTAGAAAGCGTCCTAGACATCAGCATTGTGGTCTTGGCCACTCTCTGCCTTAGGCTCCCCGGGGAATCTGCGACAGAAAACCAAGACGCTGGCTTCCAACAGCAGAGCTTCGCTGCTGTGTGTCATCGTCACGATCTTTTGGGTATTTTTTTTTTAACCCTTCGATTTAATTAGAATTACATGAAACCGTTTGTCCAAAGGAAAATTGTTGGGGTGGGGGGATGGTAGAGGAAAGGGAGATGGGCATTATCATTTAATTCATAATCAGTTCTTATTAATCTTGCGAATGCTGAGGAGAAAAGAGAAAAACGCCCCTCTAGTGAGCACTAGGGACTCAAATCTGAGGAGTGCTCGGCCATCAAAGGTGCAGGTCTCCCTGCAGCCACTTCCTTCCTGCTAAACACCCACCTGTCATTCTGATTGCTTTGCAATCACAAGCCACAGACCGTGAAGCTCTGACTCACCCATGCCATGCCCAGATCTGTCTGAAACAATGGCTCGTGGAGAATTTAGGTTCCTCCTTGGACTGACTGAGACTTTCCCCACTCTGAAGGGGAGAAGGACCTGAGGAAGCCCACCACTGGCCTAACTTAAGGTACCATCCGGAATCAACGTGATGTGGTGTAGCAATGACGCATCTAAATAAGGTTTGGGTAAACGGATTATCTCAGACTATAACCACATGAGATAATGATGTCCTCCAAAGTTTATTTCCCCGTAAATATTCAGGAAAGGTAGTAAAATGACCTTAAAGACAAAAATGGTTAAAATAGCCTTAGAAAACATACAGGTATGAAAAAAGCAGGGACAAACTGTGAAGTTAATGGACAGAAGAGTTGACACTACATCCAGGTTTCTGGTCTCAAATGCATGACTATTTAGAGTGTGTTTATAAAAGCAAATGGAACTGGAATTTCACTCAATTAATCGAGCATTTGCAACCTTTTTTATTTGCTCCTGATATATTCTGAGTCTGGCAGGCAAGGGCATAGTATGACTGATGTTTATTTATTCTCATTTTAATCCTTAGAGCAACCCTATTTAGTAGGTATCCCCATTTTTCAGATCTGGAAACTGAGGGCCAGAGAGATTAATTTGCCAAAGTCACACCTTTAAGCCAAGTGTAATTAGAATGGCTCGTAAGAGCCTCACTGTGTGTTGTTTTCAACTTCTGCCTTCTTTCGCTGCAAGGCACGTTCTCAGACCTCGTTCGCTGCTGAAATGTGTGTGATGATCCTTTCCTGAGGGAGGTCTGCCTATCTTCCGATACTACTTCTTGCTGATGCGGTGTACGTGTTGACTAACAGAAACGACGCCTTTGAAACAAAGTAAACCTTTGGCTTTTTGTTCTGTTGGTGTGATTCAAAGCAAACAAATATAAATTGGAAAAACACAACAACTACAAAAAGATCTGAGTTCCAAATAGAATGGTTCCTTGAAGAGGCATGAGAAGCAACTATTGTGTTACAGTGTTAAAATAATCAGTTTTCTTTGACAAAAACGTGTACTGTGTAAGCCTTGCAAAAACAAAACAAAACAAAAAAAAACAGAAGACGCCTGCTCTATGGCATTTGAATTTTTACAGAGGTTTCCTTGTGCCAAATAAGTGCAAAGATTTAATTTACTATTAAAAACCATAAGCATATATGTTATAGTTCCAGAAGAATTATTTTGTCATCAAGTGATTTTGATCTTCAGTGTCAATCTTTATATTTAGATTAATTTTTATAAATGAAAATATTTTAATGGTTTAAGAAAAATGAGGACAATAGGACCATATCTTTGATGACTTCTGAAAGTTATGCTTGCCTTCATGTTATATGCACATTGCCAAGAATCACTGTCAAGAGAAATGATAAAGAAGTAAAAGTCATTTACGAAAATAACGTTCGTGGGTGTGTGGCTCTTGGTTTTTGTTTGTTTTTTGGTAAGGGAAGACCGGA